GTTTGACTCCGCCCACCTCGCGCAGAGCAACTCCTTCGACCATGACATCGAGCAAGTCTCTGGCATCGTTCGTCCGGTCGCTGATGAAGCTCTCCATTTTGATGGCGACTCTTATGTTGCTGCTCGCGTGCTGCTCGATGCGGACGGTGCCCCTCGGGAAGCACGTGGAGCTCTTCCTGGCCCTCGGGACGACCGCCCTGGCTCCGGTGAGGACCCTCGTGGGCTACGGTCGGCTCTGCACGGCCATCGTGCGGATCCCTCAGGGATCGACGATGATCCTCCAGGCTCAGTGGCTCCGACTGCTGCCCCTCCTGGACATCTGGCTGCTCGACCTGCCCCTCGTGATCTCGAACGAGCCCCTGGCCTGCCAGCTGCGTTTGAAGTTCGCTTTGCGTCCCTTCGGAACGGGTGCGGCGACGCCACTCAGAGTCTGTCTGAAGCTGTCGTTCCCTGTGTTCGTGAATTCGCAGGTGGGAAGCTCCCAGAGGCCAGGGCCAAGCTGCCGCAGAAGCCCTTCGCGCCCATCTTGAGCCGTTGGTGGCCACCCTCAACGCTCACACCGAGGCTACAGCTTCGGTGGCTGCTGGCGCGTTCGCCGCCCGCGGTGGGGGGACAGCGGGTCGCCATACCGATGCCGAACGTGATCGAGGCGCTGCGCCGACTCGTATGTACCCCATCTGGTGCTCTCGATTTCTCGTGGCTGAAGGTCCTGGAGGTCGGGCCGCGGATTGCAACGAGGCCTGCACGCAAACACTATCCAGCCTGCCGCTTTGGCGCCGCTCTGCAGACATCCCCACCTGTGCGAGATCTCCGAGGAGGCTGTCGCCAGCGAGCACGGTCGCTTATCTCGGCGCCTTCCACAATACGTCCCTGCACAGCCGCTGACGACAACTCTCTGGCGTGAGCGGGCTGCTGGCCGCAGCGCGCCTGAGATTCATGGCCTATCTCTCCGCACGTCGAGGCCATCGCACGCAGGTGGTGGACACCATGGCCCTCAGCCTCGCCTGCACGGGGACGTTGAGTCTGCTGGTCTTGTGGGCCCTTCTACTAACGAGGGTGCTTCTGAGAGTCCTGCCGCTGCTGATCACGCTCTCTTTGAGCTTCTTCCGCCAACTGGAGATGCTGTTGGCGTTCTCTCTTCTCTTCAGCTTCCTGCAGGGCTTCTGCCTCATGGAGGAGGCGCTGCTGCGGATCCTGCCGCTGCTGGTCACGCTCTCCCTGTGCATCCTCCTCCACTCGACGATGCTGCGGGCATATTCGCTGTACTTCAACCCCCTGCCGTGCCTCAGCCTCACGTCGTCGGAGCTGCTGCAGGTCCTGCAGCTGATGATCCCGCTCGGCGTGCACATGAGCCTCCTGCGGGACATCCTCCTCCACCTGATGGCGTTGGGCGGCCTCCCCCTGATGGCGCTGCGCAGCTACTTCCTCAACAAGGGCCTCATGACGCCGACGCTGATGACCAAGGGTGTGTGTTGGGTCCATTAGCTGTTGGCACTGGGCTAAGGGGGTGGGTCGCGCGGTGTTTGATTCCCCTCTCTTTGGACATCGTGACTAACTGCAGCTTCCCTCTTGCAGCAAGGCGCTCTCCGTTCATGCCGACATCTTGATCATGGGCGGCGTCTCCGACTCGATCACCGCTGGTTACCCTCCACAGGTTGTGCAACATGTGCGTGGTGCTGTGGACGGTGCGCACCTTAATGGGCGTTTGTTGCCTGGCGCTCGTTTCCTTCGGCGTAACGACCTACTGCCGCTTCGCTCCTGCAGCAGGACCCTCTTCGCTCACATCGACTTCCTCATCGTGCGCGGCATCACCAACCCGAGCGGCTTCTTGCAAGCCGACTCCTTCGACTCGGCGGGGGCTCTCCCCGCCATCGTCTTTGTTGCCCCCGCGGGCAAAGTGATTTGGCAGACCCCGACTTCACGCCCTTCGACCACGAGCCGGTGGATGCGTACGGCGACGGCCCCACGTTCGTGGTCCCCGCCGACGCCGCCGGCAGTCCGCACTGCCGCGCCCCTGCCTGCTCCAGAGGACACGCGGCCGAGCGTGTAGCGCGCGGGGGGGGATTGTGGTCCCCAGGGACGCTCGCTCCTCTTCCTCTTCCTCCTCCTCTTCCTCATCCTCCTCTTCCGCTTCCTCCTCATCATCATCCGCATCATCGTCATCATCATCAGCAGCAGCAGCATATCCATCATCATTACCATCATCCTCAGCAGCAGCATCAGCATCAGCATCCCCATCATCACCAGCAGCATCAGCAGCATCAGCATCATCACCATCATCGTCAATCGCAGCAGCATCTTCTTCATCACCGTCATCGACAGCATCGTCAGCAGCAGCATCAGCATCATCATCGTCAGCATCATCGTCATCAGCAGCAGAATCATCATTTGCAGCATCAGCACCGTCATCATCATCATCATCATCATCCTCATCAGCAGCAGCAGCAGCAGCATCCTCACCGTCAGCATCAGCATTATATCTATCATCAGCAGCATAAAAAATCATCACCATCAGCAGCAGCATTACCATCATCAGTAGCATCATCACCAGCATCATCACCAGCATCAGCATCACCATCAGCAGCAGCATCATCATAATCATGCCCCTCCGCTCCTTCTCCTCCTCCTCCTCCTCCTCCTCCTGCTCTCCCTTCTCATCCGCTTCCTCTTCCTCTTTCTCCTCGGCTTCATGCCCCTCCGTTCATCTTTCTCCTCCGCCTCTCCCTCCTTCTCCTCCTCCTGGTCCTCCTCCTCCTCCTCCTCCTCGTTGCTATCATCATCCTCATCCTCATCATCATCACCGTTATCATCATTCGCATCATCCTCATCAGAATCATCATCACCAGAAGCACCCTTAGCATCATCATCAGCACGAGCAGCATCGGCATCATCACCAGCATCATCACTAATCACCATCAACAGCATCATCATCATCATCATCATCATCATCATCAGCAGCAGCAGCAGCAGCAGCATCATCGCCATCATCATCAGCATCAGCATCATCATTAGCGTCATCATCTTCATATTCATCAGCAGCATCGGCATCTTCATCATCATCAGCATCAGTACCATCATCATCAGCATCACTATCAACATCATCAGCAGCATCATCATCAGCAACATCAACATCAGCATCGACCTCATCGTCACCATCATCAACATCATCATCATCACCATCAGCAGTATCACCGGCACTTCCGCCATCAACATCATCATCATCAGCATCACCATCTCCAGCAGTATCATCATCTTCAGCATGATCATCATCATCATCATCATCATCATCATCATCATCATCATCATCAGCCTCATCATCGTCATCATCATCATCAGTATCATCATCATCAGCAGCAGCATCATCATCAGCATCATCATCGTCATCACCATCAGTATCATCATTGTTGTGGTCATCATTATCCCCGAGCCCCCTTTTAGCAGCCCTGCGCGGCCATGGGGCGCCAAGCCATCTTGAGTCGTGCCCCCGTCGTTCCGTCCTCCCCCCGTCCTCGCCCTCCTCCCAAGGCCCCCCCCCACTCTTGAAGATCCCGAAGCCCGAGGGAGGATGGAGGATGGAGGAGGAGGAGGAGGACAAGGAGAAACAGGGCGACCAGGAGGACCAGGAGCACCAGAAGGCGCAGGAGGAGCAGGAGGAGCAGGAGGAGGAGGAGGAGGAGGAGGAGGAGGAGTAAGAGGAGGAGCAGGAGGAGGAGAAGGAAGAGGAGGAGGAGGAGGAGGGAGGAGGGAGGAGGGAGGAGGGAGGTAGGAGGGACGAGAGATGAGGAGGAGGCAGGAGGGAGGAGGGAAGGAGGGAGGGAGGAGGGGAGGGAGGAGGGCGGAGGGAGGAGCCCCCTCTCCGCAGCAGGTCCTCGCCGCGCTGGAGGCCATGGGCGCGTTCGGCGCCGGGCTCCGACGGCACAGGGCCCCGACCGCCCCGCCCGCGCGACGGTGACGGTCTGGTGGGCGGCGGCGAGGTCACGATGATGATGAGGATGATGATGATGGTGATGATGGTGATGGTAATGATGATGATGATGATGATGATGATGATGATGATGATGATGATGATGATGATGATGATGATGATGATGATGATGATGATGGTGATGATGATGATGATGATGATGTTGGTGTTGGTGATGGTGATGATGATGATGATGATGAGAAAGATGATGAGAAAGATGATGATGATGATGATGATGATGATGATGATGATGATGATGATGATGATGATCATGATGATGATGATGATGATGATGGTGATGGTGATGGTGATGGTGATGGTGAGGGTGAGGGTGAGGGTGAGGGTGAGGGTGAGGGTGAGGGTGATGGTGATGGTGATGGTGATGGTGATGGTGATGGCGATGATAGTGATGGTGATGGTGATGGTGATGGTGATGGTGATGGTGATGGTGATGGTGGTCATGATGATGATGATGATGCTGGTGATGATGCTGATGGTGATGATGCTGATGATGATGCTGGTGATGATGATGACGATGTTGGTGTTGATGATGGGGGTGATGATGAGGATGAGGATGAGGATGATGAGGATGATGACGACGGTGCTCACTGTGATGACCAGCAAAAATGGTCAAACAAATCGTTCCCATGTTATGTTTTGAATAGTTTTCCCAATCCTCATGCGTTGGGTCTTCGTTTGGAATAGAGCAGCTGCGGTCGCGACTCCTCTCCTATCCTCTCTCCCCTGCTTCTTACCTCGCTCGCTGCTGCGTGCCAGCTTGGTTCTGCGATGTGCGAAACTGTCGCCACTTTCGAGCGGCGCTGGGGGGGCCCAGCGGAGTGGGGCCATACGCAGATTCAGACTAGACCTCGCCGTCCTTGGGGGGCTGAAGCTGTCGCCACTTTCGAGGGTTGCTGGGGGGCCCAGCGGAGTGGGGTCATACGCAGATTCAGATTAGACCTCGCCATTCCTGGGGGGGGGCTGCGATCTGCGAAACTGTCGTCACTTTCGAGGGCTGCTGGGGGGGCCTAGCGGAGTGGGGTCATACGCAGATTCAGATTAGACCTCGCCATCCCTGGGGGGCTGCGACCTGCGAAACTGTCACCACTTTCGAGGGCTGCTGGGGGGCCCAGCGGAGTGGGGTCATACGCAGATTCAGACTAGACCTCGCCATCCTTGGGGGGCTGCGATCTGCGAAACTGTCACCACTTTCGAGGGCTGCTGTAGGGCTCAGCGGAGTGGGGTCATACGCAGATTCAGATTAGACCTCGCCATCCCTGTGGGGCTGCGACCTGCGAAACTGTCACCACTTTCGAGGGCTGCTGGGGGGCCAAGCGGAGTGGGGTCATACGCAGATTCAGATTAGACCTCGCCATCCCTGGGGGGGTGCGATCTGCGAAACTGTCGTCACGTCCGAGGGCGGCTGGGGGGCCCAGCGGAGTGGGGTCATATGCAGATTCAGAAGATCTCGCCATGCCTGGGGGGCTGCGACCTGCGAAACTGTCACCACTTTCGAGGGCTGCTGGGGGGCCCATGCTGAAGTCCTGACGCCCACGGCCTGCCAGGGCCGCACCATGCCTCGCGGTGTCATCATCGACGCTGGGTGCAAGGATGAGAAGGAAATGAACGACCTCTGGCTGCATCTTTACGTGATGCTGTCCAGGGCAACGACCGTGGACAACCTGGTGATGAGACGCGACCCTGGACTGGATTTCCTCGCCCGCGGGCCGCCCGCGGATTTAGCGGCGTGCCTTCGTGCGTTTAGCTCGCGCACTGAAAAGTGCAGGAAGGAGGCAGAGAAGCTGGCGGGCGAGCTAGGCCTCGCTCGCTTCCTGCACTAACTAAAGCAGGTTAAAACCACTTTTTTCGGGCGCCGCGTCGACATGGCAGCGCTGCGCCTCCAGCGGACCACCGACAAAAAAACACCAGTTTCTTTCTTCTGCCTTCGTTGTCGTCCTTGTCTCTTTCCTCCTGCCACCTTCCCTCTGCTCCTGCTGCGCTGACGGGTCGGCCCCCTGCGCGTCTTTCTCTCGCTCTTCGTTTCCACCCCCCATGTCCTTTTCGAGCCTGTGGCTCTCGCATCTCGCTCTTGCGCAGTTGTCCTGTACCTCGTGCCACGTGCGCGTGTCCCACGTAGCTCTCGTGACATACAACGGCGCCTGCACTTTGATCGTCCCACACAAATGTTAACCACTGCGCCGTGCCCCTTGATACAGATGGGTTGGGTACGTCGCAGGGTAATGAACACTGCTCCTGTACCAATCGGTCGTTGAAAGTAGGTTTTTTTTTGGATTTCCAGTTCCTAGCCTACTTTAGCCGCCTTCCTACTTCAAGAGTCGAGTGGTTTTCCCTCTTCCCTTCTCTTCAGGAGGCGGGCGGAAGCCCAATCTTTTTTCCAACGCCTTCCTACTTCATGGTTCTACCTACGTCTTGCGACCGATGGGTAGAGGGACATACCCGATTGAGCCCCGGCCCCAGGTGCCCCCTGGCTGCTCCGTGCCACCCCGGAGCCCCCCCATTGAGGGCCCGCCGTGCCTCGTGAGAGGGGAGGAGGGTGCTCGTTCGCTGGAGGCCGCGGGGGGGCCATCCTTTTGGGCACATGTGGTGGTACACGTGATGAGCGATTGATGTTTCACCGAGTTGTATCAGCCAATTTCTTTGCATGCGCGTTTCAATGCCGTAGTGTTGCATGCCCTCCGTCTCCGCTTGCGGAGCGAGGGGCCTCCGTAGGGCTCCTCGACCAGACTTGACTTGACTTGACTTGGGGGAGGCACCTCGGGCCACGGGGGGCCCTCCAAGCAGCCGCCGACCTGCTTGGGGCCTCGTGGTCGAGGAAGGAAACACACACACACACACACACACACACGGGCGCCATGAGCCGTCGATGCCCAGAACGTAGATGGGAACATAGGGGAAGTGGGGGGGAGGCGAAAAGTCCGGAAAACGTGGGAAAATGTATCGGAATCTTGGGATTTGTGTGTGTATTTGTTTGTGTGTCTTTGGGCCCCTTGAGTGGTGCATCTCTGGGGCGCCTGGGGCCGTCTTGGTGTTCCCCGATCGAAGAGACAATCAAGCCTGCGGCAGGCTCGCATCGTGCAGACCAACGGTTCCCTCCCTCCCTTCCTCCCTCCTCCCTCCCTCCCTCCCTCCCTCCCTCCCCTCCCCCCCGCTGCCAGCGTTCGACGTTGAACGGCGCCAGCGACCCAGAATGGGCCGATGTTGAACGATCTGACGTTTTGGAAAGGGCCGATCGTTCAAGATTGAACGATCCCCACGGCGTCAGGGACCAAAGCCGGGGGTGGCACGACACGAACCCGCCGCACACGGATGCTGATGTGTTTGAGTGGCAAGCGCAGGTGGCGTTGGCCCTTCCGGGGGCCCCGCAGCCTCACTGGCCCTGCAGAGCACATCGGAGGGAGGTCACTCGCGTATGCTGGTGTCCAAAAAATCCAGGCCCGACCCTCCTGCCACTCCCTGATTTGCCATGTCCGGGCAGATCGCCGCGAGGACAGGTTCGGCCGTACGCTCCCCGCTGGCCCGTCGGACGACGCCTTCGCACCCCGTCCTGGGGGCCTTCCTGCGCCGCCCTGGGGACCTATTTGGGGGCGTGTCCGGGCCGTCATCAAGGTCTCTGGGGCCGTCTAGGGGTGCCCCTTCGCCACATTCATCTCTGACGCGCGGTTTTCGGTGGCCTCCTCCTCCTCCTCCTCCTCCTCCTCCTCCTCCTCTTCTTCCTCCTCTTCCTCCTCCTCCTCCTCCTCCTCCTCCTCCTCCTCCTCCTCCTCCTCCTCCTCCGCTTGCAGTCACGCCATAAGCCTGGCAGCGCCTCTCCCAGCTCGGCTCGGGCTCGTCGCAGACCAGCTTCGCATGCATTCGGAGCTATGCGGTGGGCCTCCCGCCGCGCTGTCGCCGCGCCGCGCAGCTCCGTGGCCAGCGAGCGCATGGGCCACCACCCCGCAAGGCGGCCCCCCGCAGCCAGCACCGGTGCCATGCCCCGCTCCGCCGATTGAACCAGCGGCAATGGGCACTAAGCACCTGGCGTGAGCCAAAATGGCTACGGACACGAGGAGAGGGGGAGGAGGAAAGGGAGGAGGAGGAGGAGGTGGAGGAGGGGGATGATGATGTTTTTGTTGATGACGATGCTGATGACGATGACGATGACGATGACGATGATGATGATGATGATGATGATGATGATGATGATGATGATGATGATGATGATGATGATGATGATGATGATGATGATGATGATGATGATGATGATGATGATGATGATGATGATGATGATGATGATGATGATGATGACGATGATGATGATGATGATGCTGATGATGCTGACGATGACGATGACGATGACGATGACAATGACGGTGACGATGACGATGACGATGACGAAGACGATGACGATGACGATGACGATGACGATGACGATGACGATGATGAGGATGAAGATGAGGATGGTGATGGTGATGGTGATGGTGATGATGGTGATGGTGATGGTGATGGTGATGGTGATGATGACGATGATGCTGAGAAGGAGGAGGAGATGGTGGAGGAGGAGGAGGAGGAGGAGGAAGGAGGAAGTGGACGAGGAGCACGAGGAGGAGAGTCCCCCTCCCTGCGGCGCCGGCCAGGCCATGTTCAGCTCGACGGCCGAGGGCCGCGGCTCCATGGTCCGCCAGCTCCAGCCCGCGCTGCACCTGGAGGGCCACAGCGAAGTCGTCGGTGGGGCCCTCGTCTCAGGGGCAACGACAGGGGGGCGGATAGGCTGAAGTCGGGCCTGTCCATCTACAGGAGGAATATTATTATTATTTTTTTTAAACAAAAAAAAATGGTGAGCATGTGTTGGCCATTTGGGGGCATTGTTTGACTATTTTTTATGTTTCGCCCAAAACCTCCCTGTATGCGGGACGTGCCCGACCTGAGGATAGGCCCAGGGGGGACGTCCCAGGGGCAATGAGGAAGGCTTGAGGTTCCTGGGCGTCTTCGTTGGCTCCGGTCGGCTCGCCGGCCTCGGGATGCCTTCCAGCGGCTGCCTCGTCTACGGGGCAACGACAGGGGCGGATAGGCCCAGGGGGAACGTCCCTGGGGCAATGAGAAAGGCCTGAGGTGCCTGGGCGGCTTCGCTGCTTCTGGTCGCCTCGCTGGCCGCGGGAGCGGCCTTCCAGCGGCCGCGCCTCCAGGGGTGCCCTGGGTCGCCCCGAGAGCGGCCACCCCACGGCCGAGCTAGGACCCCAAAGCCAGCGGGACCCGGTCGGGTGTGTTTGCCGAGAGGTTCAGCGGGCCCAGCGTCCTCTCTTCCCGTCGCGCCTGGGTCTCTTCCTCTTCCTCCTCCTCCTCCTCCCTCCTCCTCCCTCTTCCTCCTCCTCCCTCCTCCTCCCTCCTCCTCCTCGTCCCTCCTCCTCCTCCTCCTCCTCCTCCTCCTCCTCTTCCTCCTCCACCTCCTCCTCCTCCTCCTCCTCCTCCTCCTCCTCCTCCTCCTCCTGGTCCCCGGGCTTGAACGTCCCAAGCCTTTGCCGAGAGTTTCAGCGGGCCGGGCGTCCTCTCTTCCCGTCGCGCCTGGGTCTCCTCCTCTCCTCACGCGCACTCTGCGGCCCAATCTGCACCCAGCGCGCCCCACTGATGCCCGATCGCCGGAGCAGTGGCCTCTGCCCAGCCGCCGACGCGAAGAGTTTGCTGAGAGTGTCCCGCCGCCGGTTCTGGCCCACAACGCTTGTGGCGCGACACGCTGACCAGCTCCTGACCCCCGGGCCTGAACGTCCCGAGCCTTTCGAAGCCTCCCGCCCCGCGAAGCGGGGGCCGCCGCCTCGACACGTCAAGCAGAAGCTCCCGACCGCAAGTACGGACGACGGGAGTGCCCCTGGATTTCTCACAGAAGGACTTCCTGTACTCCAAGTCGTTCGAGGGTCGAGTCTGCCTCTGTCCTGCTGTTGGGCGCCCTTTGGGGGCCTCCAGGGGCTCCCTCGTGGGCTCGGCCGTATCCATTTGGAAATTCTGCCAGGACGCCTCCTGGGGCAGGTCTGAGGATCGTTGTCGTCGGCTTTCTCCCCCTTCCGCTCCTCCTCACTTTTTGTCCTCGTCCCCCATCCATCCTACTCCCCCTCCTCGTTCTAGTGATCCCTCCTTCTCCCCTCATGCTCCTCATCATCTTCTGACTCCTCCTCGACTGATCTCTCTACCCCAACCCCATTCCCTCGCCTTCCCCCCCACACACCACATACCGAAAGCGATCTGACGTTGGACCTAAGAGCGTGGATATCGAAATTTGTTTCAAACCATTTTCGGATAATCCATGCGCTCGGCTTCTTCGAGAGTTTCCTGGAGAACGCGTGGGGGGTGTCCGGGGGGGCCTTGTGGGAGTCTCTTCGGGTGTCTTCGGCGTCTCTTGGGAGCTGCTGGGTGCCGCTTGAGGCAATATTGGGCCATCGTGGCGGCATTGGGCTTCCCCGGAAGCCCGTAGACCACTGCAGAAGCCCCGGCAGTCAGCGCTTGACATGCTACCAGGGCGCAGCGTGCCAGGGTGCACGGCGGCGGAATGAGTGTCCTCCCCGCGTTTCCTCCCCTCCTCGTCCTCCTCCTCCTCCTCCTCCTCCTCCTCCTCCTCCTCCTCCTCCTCCTCCTCCTCCTCCTCCTCCTCCATCCTCCTCCATCTTCCTCCTCCTCCTCCTTTTCCTCCTCCTCCTCCTCCTCCTCCTCCTCCTCCTCCGGCTGGCAGCCTTGAACATCCACGCTAGTTACCGAGTGGCCCCCTAACATCTGCGTTTTGAGAGCGTTCACGGTTAAAGTTTTGTCGAAGGCCACATGTGGGTTTGCCCCCGCCTCGGATATGAGAGAAATTCGACATTCGGCGCGCCTCTATGCTATTTGTGGTGCAGTCGTATTAGTAGTGGTATTATTACTGGTAATATGATCCGTTTCCTTAGTAGTAGTAGTAGTAGTAGTAGCAGCAGTAGTTGTTGTTGTAGTTGTTGTAGTAGTAGTACTAGTAGTACTAGTAGTAGTAATAGTAGTAGTAGTAGTAGTAGTAGTAGTAGTAGTAGTAGTAGTAGTAGTAGTAGTAGTAGTAATAGTAAGTAAGTAAAAGTAGTAGTAGTAGTAGTAGTAGTCGTCGTCGTCGTCGTAGTAGTAGTAGTAGTCGTAGTAGTAGTAGTAGTACTAGTAGTAGTAGTAGTAGTAGTAGTAGTAGTAGTAGTAGTAGTAGTAGTAGTAGTAGTAATAGTAGCAGCAGTAGTAGCGGCAGTAGAAGTTATCATAGTAATCGTAGTAGTCTTAGTCGTAGTAGTAGTAGCAGTAGTAGTAGCAGCAGCATCATCAGTAGTAGTAACAGTAGTAGTAGTAGTCGTGATAATTGTAGTAGCCGCTGTAGTAGTAGTAGTAGTAGTAATAGTAGTAGTAGTAGTAGTAGTAGTAGTAGTAGTAGTAGCCGTTTTAGTAGTAGCAGCAGTAGCAGTAGTAGCAGCAGTAGTAGTATTAGTAGCAAGAGTGTAGGAGTAGTAGTGGCAGTGGTAATGGAAGTGGTAGTTGTAGTAGTAGTAGTAGTAGTAGCAGCAGCAGTTGCAGTAGTAGTAGTAGTAGTCGTAGTCGTAGTAGTAGTAGTAGTAGTAGTAGTATCCGTCGTCGTAGTAGTATTAGTGGTAGTAGTAGTATGAATATTAGTGTCAGTAGTACTATGATGTATTAGTACGAATATCATTAGTATCAGTTGTAGTAGTAGCAGCAGTAGTAGTAGCCGTAGTAGTCGTAGTAGTAGTGGTAGTAGTGGTAGTAGTAGTAGCAGTAGTAGTAGTAGTAGTAGTAGTCGTAGTCGTAGTTGTTGTAGTAGTAGTAGTAGTAGTAGTAGTAGTAGTCGTAGGAGTAGGCGTTGTTGACGTAGTGTTATTGCCAGCTGTATGTATACGAGCCGTATCAGCAGTATGTGTGGTATGTGTAGTAGAAATGTACACAGTTTAGTAGTAGTTGTTGTTGTAGTAGTTGTAGTCGTCGTGTTAGTAGTAGTAGCAGTAGTCGTCGTAGTAGCAGTAGTAGCAGCAGCAGCAGTAGTAGGAGTAGTAGTAGCAGCAGCAGCTGGAGTAGTAGTCGTAGTCGTAGCCGTAGTAGTAGTAGCAGTAGTAGTAGTAGTAGTGGTAGGAGTAGGAGTAGGAGTAGGAGTAGTAGTAGTAGTAGTAGTAGTAGTAGTATTAGTAGTAGTAGTAGTAGTAGTAGTAGTCCTTCTACCACTAGTAGTAGTAGTTGTTCTTGTTGTATTCGTAGCAGTACAGTAGTCGTAGTCGTAGTCGTCGTTGTTGTAGTAGTAGTAGTAGTAGTAGTAGTAGTAGTAGTAGTAAGAATGATAAGCCTCGAACATCGACTCATCCTCTCCCTGCTCCCTCCCTCCCTCGTGGCTGCATCTTCCCCCCATCCCTCCCTCCACCCGTCCCTCGCAGAGCGACCCACGGGTGGGGAGTCGCCAGGTGCGCTCAAGGGCAAGACGCCCAATGTGAGGTTGGTGGGCTCCGATGAGTGGCCCACCCTCAGGGAAGCCGCGGTCCTGCCCTAATTAGTTGGGGTTCCGCAGCCGAGCTAATCTGCTGGAGTAGGAGGAGGACGGCGACGACGGCCACGACGACGAGGATGAGGAGGAAGAGATTTCCGAAAACAATCAAAAGGAGGAGGACAGGGACAAGGAGGAGAAGGATGGCGAGGACGATGAGGAGAAGGAGGAAGAGGAGGAGAAGGAGGGCGACGAGCACGGGGGAGATGGGAAGCATGAGAGAAGGAGGAGGAGGAAGAGGAGGAGGAGGAGGAGGAGGAGGAGGAAGAGGGAGGAGGAGGAGGAGGAGGAGAAGGAGGAGAAGGAGGAGGAGGAGGAGAAGGAGGAGGGGGAGGAGGAGGAGGAGGAGGAGGAGGAGCAGGAGCAGGAGCAGGAGTCGAAGTCAAGCTAACCATCTTGAGCGAGTCAAGCATGGCATGCCCATTCCCACCCGCCCTCCGACAACATAAAAAACAGTGCTGGTGCAACTGGAGACCCAAATCAGATCGGCAAGGTGGTTTGCCACAGCTGGTGCAGCCGCGGTGGCGGTTACCGATCAGAAATTCCTGGCGCGTCTCAACGACTGCGCTGGCATTTCAGCACGAGCCTAGGAGGCCTCAGGAAGCCGGAGGCCTCAGGAGGCCCCAGGAGGTTGCAGGAAGCCCCAGGAAGCCTCAGAAGGCCCCAGGAGGTTGCAGGAAACCCCAGCAAACCCCAGAGACCCCAAGAGGCTTCAGGAGGGCCCAGGAAGTCCCAGGAGGTTCCAGGAGGCTCCAGGAAGCCCTAGGACGTGTCAGGAAGCCCCAGGGAATCCCAGGAAGCCCCAGGGAATCCCAGGAAGCCCCAGGATGCTTCAGGAGGCCCCAGGAGGATCCACGAGGCCATGGGGAAGCCCCAGGAGTCCCCAGGATGTTCCAGGAGACCCTGGGAGGCCCCAGGCGGCCCTAGGCGCTCAACGAATTGGCGAGCGAAAAATGTGCGCCACGCCTTAGCGGGAGCGCAACTTTCAGAAAACATGCGCGCGGCGCCGAAGCGGGAGCGACAGTTCACCCTGTCGCGCGCGATGTGCACCGCCCCCCATTCCGGCCACGCATTTCGCAAAGCCGACGAGGGTTGAGAAGAAACATGTCGACTTTGTCTGTGTTTTTGAAAGGTAGGATGGTCCCTTCCGCATGGGGTTGCCCCAGACGTCCGCGCGCGATGCGCGCCGCGTCCCATTCCGTTACGCGTTTCGCATCGTCGACGACAAGACAGGCCATGTCGAGAGAAAAAACGACGACGTTGTAGTGATTGTTTACAGTCAGGATGGGAGGGCTCGGATTGACGGCCGCGCGCGATGTGCGCCGCGTCCTACTCTTCCTACGCATGTCGCATCGTCGACGACAAGATCGGCCATGTTGACAGAAAAACTACGAATGTCTATTGATTGTTTTACAGTTCGGGTGGGCGGGCCCGGATAGGGCCGCTATCGGCCGGCCAGAAGGGGAGCATGAACATATTCAAATAAGGAATGAGAATAGGAGTCAAGTTAGCCAGCTCGCACGAGTCAAGCATTGCATGCCCATTCCCACCCGCCCTCCCACAACAGAAGAAACAGTGCTGACGCAACTGGGGGCCGAAATCAGATCGGCAAGGTGGTTTAGCACAGCTGGCGAGGAGAATCCACGAGGCCCTGGGCTGGTCCCAAGAGATGCCTCGGGATGTCCCAGGAGGCCCTGGGAGGCCCCGGGCGCCCGACGAATTGGCGAACGAAACATGTGCGCCGCGCCTTTGCGTGAGCGCAACTTTCAGAAAACACGCGCGCGGCGCCAAGGCGAGAGCGACATTTCGTCCCGTGACGAACTGGCGAGCTGGAGGCCCCAGGAAGCTTCAGGAGGCCCCAAGAGAATCCACGACGCCCTGGGAGGCCGTGGGCGCCCAACGAATTTGCGAGCGAAACATGTGCGCTGCACCTGTGCGGGAGCGCAACTTTCAGAAAACATGCACGCGGCTCCAAGGCGAGAGCGACATGTCGTCCTGTCGCGCGAGACTGATCCGCGCCCCATTCCTGCCACGCATTTCGCAACGCCGACGACAAGAAAGTCCACGCTGAGAAGAGACAGGTCGTTTTTGGAATGTTTCTTGACTGGTAGGATGGCCCCTCCCGAGGCCCCCGAGGACCCCAGACGTCCGCGCACGATGTGCGCCGCGTCCCGCTCCTGCCACGCATTTCGCATTGGCGACGACAAGACGGGCCATGCTGAGATAACAAAAAAAGACGTTGTAATGATTGCGTACAGTTAGGATGGGAAGGCCCGGATTGACGGCCGCGCGCGATGTGCGCCGCGTCCTATTCTTGTTACGCACTTCGCATCGTCGACGACAAGAAAGGCCATACTGAGAGAAAAACGACGACTTCGCATTGATTTGTTAAGGGTAAGGATGGGAGGACCTGGATTGACGGCCGCGCGCGATGTGCGCCGCGTCTTGCTCCTGTTATGCATTTCGCATCGTCGACGACAAGACAGGCCGTGTTGAGAGAGAAAACTATTACGTTCTATTGATTTTTACAGTTAGGATGGGAGAGCCCGGATGGAACCGTTACCGGCCGGCCAGAGGGGGGAGTAACAGCATATTCGAATAAGGAGTACGGATAGGAGTAGGAGGGGGGAGGGCGCGAGGGCGCGAGGGACGGGACGGGGGACGGATAAAAGGGTGGGGAAGGTGAGTGGCGAGGAAGAGGAGGAAGAAGAGAAGGAGAGGAGGACGAGGGGGAGGAGGAGGACGAGGAGGAGGAGGAGGCGGAGGAAGAGGAGGAGGAGAAGGAGGAGGAGAAAGAGGAGGAGAACGAGGACGAGGAGGAGGAGGAAGAGGAGGAGGAGGAGGAGAGCGAGCCGCGCCAGCCTTAGTTTTTCCAGCTGAGGCAGGAACCGCCCATTTTCCTGCTCGTCCTGCCTCGCTCGCCCTCCGCTGGGTCGACTCGACCAGCGGCGGCTGCACTCACGAAGGGACCCTTCAGCCCCCCTCCCCCCCATTCCCTCTCCGATCCCTCCCTGTTCGTCCCCCCTCCCTCCCTCCTATTCCCGTCCCCTCCCGCTTTCCCTCCTCTCCTCCCTTTTCCTCTACCCCTTCCCAACCTGCTCGTCGTCCTTCCTCCTCCCTCTGCCCCCCACCCCAATCCCCGCATGCTGCTGTTGCGCGTCTGCTGCGCCTGCAGCTGCCAGTGGCGTCCCTGTGGCGTCCGTCACGTGTTGATGCAGGCCCCGTGCCTGGCATCGAGGGTGGCTCGGGCATGGTTCATCCTGCCCTCCGTTGTGCCAGTGCGAGCCCCGGTCTCGCCCAGAGCCGCCCTCGGCCCCCTTGCAGGGGGGCCCCGTTCTGGACAGCGGTCCGCCCACCACCACCTCCTAGCCTCCCCTCCCCTTTCTTTCATGGTTTCGACCAGCCGTGTCCCTCGGTCATTTCGTGACCGTTCAGAGGGAGACGAAGACGGAGACGGATATGATGGTGATGATGACGATGGTGATAATGATGATGATGATGATAGAGAGATGATGATGATGATGATGATGATGATGATGATGATGATGATGATGATGATGATGATGAGATGATTGATGATGATGATGATGATGATGATGATGATGATGATGATGATGATGATGATGATGATGATGATGATGATGATGATGATGATGATGACGATGATGATGATGACGACGATGATGATGATGAGGATGATGATGATGATGATGATGATGACGATGATGATGATGATGATGATGATGAGACTGAGAACGACGAAAACGACGACGACGACGACGACGACGACGACGACGACGACGCAACGACGACGATGATGACGACGACGACGACGACGACGACGACGACGACGTCGGCGACCACGGCGGTGGCGGCGACCACGGCGACGACTACGACCACGGGCGCTTCGCCCCGATCCTCCCTTCCGCCCTCCAGCGACGACGACGACGACGACGACGACGACGACGACGACGACCACGACGACGACGACGACGACGACGACGACGACGACGGCGACCACGGCGGCGGCGGCGACCACGGCGACGACTACGACCACGGGCGCTCCGCCCCGATCCTCCCTTCCGCCTTCCAGTCCGAGCTGCGGAGGACGGCCGGGCGCGGCGAGGGCTCCCTCCGAGCGCGCGCGCGCACGCGCCTCCGCGGCGTGAGAAGCGGCTGCGGCGGCGAGGAGCGGCGCGGCGCCGCCGCGGGGGCCAGCCCGGGGGGCGGGGAGGGGAGGGTCCTCCTCCTCCTCCTCCTCCTCCTCCTCCTCCTCCTCATCCTCCTTCCTCCTCCTCCTCCTCCTCCTCCTCTCCCTCCTCCTCCTCCTCCTCCCCCTCCTCCTCCTCCTCCTCCTCCTCCTGCCCCCAGGGCGGAGGTCGGCGGGTTGGTGCAGCACCCGCGCGGCGCCCTGGGGGAACTTGAGCCTGCATAAATCTACCCCTAGTCGGGAGGGTAGTGGGTGCTGTTCGCTAAACGGCCCGGGTTCGCCGCCCGGGCGCCAGTCTCAGCACTCGGGTCACCCCGCACGCGAGCACCCGGATTTTTTAACTCCTCCTCCTACTCCTCCTCCTCCTCCTCCTCCTCCTCTCTCCTCCTCCTGCCCTCCGCCTCCCTCCTCCTCCTCCTCCTCCTCCTCTCCATTCCTCATCATCATCCTCAATCCTCATCCTCATCCCTCATCCGTCATACCTCATCCTCATCCTCATCCTCCTTCCCCCTGCCCTCTCCTCCTCCTCCTCCGCCTCATCCTCCTCCTCCTTCCCCCTCCTCCTCCTCCTCCCCTCTCCTCCTCCTCCTCCTCCTCCCTCCTCCAACTCCAACTCCACTCCAACTCCACCTCCTCCTCCCCCTCCTCCTCTCCTCCTCCTCCTTCTCCTCCTCCTCCACTCCCCCTCCACTCCCTCCTCCAACTCCTCCTCCAACTCCTCCTCCAAACTCCTCCACCTCCTCCTCCTCCGCTCCTCTTCCTCTCCTCCTTCCTCCTCCTCCTCCTCCCCCTCCTC